CCCCACCCCCCCCCCCCCCCCCCAAGCTAAAGATCAAACATTTTCCTTTCCTAGCTTGGTGATTGGATCATGGAAATTAGAACTGTTCAGCCCCTTGGGCCTTGGTCAGCACATCATCTGCTGTCAAATGGAATATAGGATTGTGAGCAATATTATTTGCGAACTTGTTGACTCAATAGAATACAGCTTAACGGGACCTTCCAACTAGACTTCCAAGTTATCTAGGATAATTTTTATGCGTAGCAATTCACACACTCATTGAGCAATAGATCTGAATTCTGATTCCCCAAATAGTCTAGCTACCACATTTTGTTTTTGTATTTTCGTTTAAAGTAACCGGTCATTTTGGTCCCTAAATTTGGAAAATGCTATCATATTAATCCTTGAAACTAAGAAAATGTCAAATAAGTCCTTGAAAGTATAAATTGACAATCACATTAGCCCAAAATTCAAAATGTGACTAATGTGATAGTAATTGTATTCAAGGATCAAAATGACAATAAGTAGTAAAGTTTAGATACTTATTAAACATTTTCTTAGTTCTAGGGACTGTTGTGATAGCGCTCACTACTTTCAGAGACTATAATAACTGTTTACTCTTTCATATGACTAAATTTCCTCCCAAGAAAGTACAATACTCAGACACGCTAATTTCTATCCACTTGTGAACTCGCTTAGTCAGCATCAGTGTGATCTTCAAGGCTCAAATTTTCACTTTTCCTAAAGAGGATTCCTTTACCAGTGTTGCCTTTCAATAGTGCAGAAATTTATATTCAGCTTGAAGGTGTGGTTCTCTTGGGTCATGCATGAATTGATTGATGACCTTCATTGAATATGCAATATATGGTGTGTGTGAACAAGATATTGAGTCTTCCATCCAAGTTTTGGAACATCTTTTGTCTTCTGCTGGTTTTTTTTTGTCTTCTCCCAGCTTATGATTCGGATCCATTGGAATAGGTGCTGGTTTGCATCCAATTTTCCTTTTTCTACCAATAAATCAGTCAATTATTTTTTCTAAGATATGGAGAGTGGAGACACCTTGGTTAGAGAATGCAACTTCAATCATGAGAAAATACTTCAACTTCCCCAGTTCTTTTATCTTGAATTCCCAAACCAAAGTCTGCTTCCATTCTCCCTTTTCTTTCTCATCATTCCTAGTTACTATGATTTCTTCAACATGTGAGGAGGATAGTTACACCTTATCACTGAATGTTTGATAAAGAGGGTGCGATCTCCTTGGCTTTGTTTGTACCTAAACTCCTTCGTGACCTTTGAAAACCTCTGAAATCAAATTCTAAGAGATTGGTTTAAACCATAAAGAGATTTTTGAAGCCTGCACACTTTGTTATTTATTTCCATTTCCTTCAAAACCTCGTGGAGTACTCATAAATTTTTTCATCTGGGTCACCATAAAGAAATGCATTCTTAACATCATATTGAAAAAGTTTCCAAATAAATGTGCAGCCAATGATAACAAAATTCTTACATATTCATTTTTTTTAACAGGAGTGAATGTTTTGTAATAATCAATCCCATGACCTTGGGTGTAATCTTTGGTGACCACCTTGCTTTGTATCTTTCAAGGGATCCATCTACCTTTTACTTCAATGTGAAAATCCATTTGCAATGAACAATATTCTTCTCTTCAGGTTTGTCAACAATTTCCCAATGTATTGTTCTTTTCCAAGGCATTCATCTCCTCTTTCATAGCATCTGTTCCCTTTTTGACAAGGCTGCAAAAACAGATTTAGGGACAATAGAATTCAAACTCACAATGAACCTTTTATGATTAGTTGATAAGCAATCAGGTGAAACATAATTTGATAAAGGATAAAGGGATTTTCAGGACAGTTTCTAGTGCCTTTTCTAACTGGGAAGATCTAGGTCATCTACAGGGATGGAAGGGATTTCATTTATTTGTTTAGTTTTCTCACAACAATGTTCATAATCAACATAGAATAAACTTGATCCTTGGGTTGTCATGTGTGTTTTCCCATTATTATTCTACTACTCAAAAAGGTTACAAACCCTCATCCAAATAATGGAACATATATGCTGATTGACACCTTCACCGAAAGTGAACCTTTTTCTCTCCAAGACTTCTTCTCAATAGGAGATTTCAGTGATAGATGATGATCAATTAGAGCTTCTTTAACTACCAAAAAGGCCAATTAGTATTGTAAAACCATTAGGCCCTCCTGCTTCAATAAACTCTACTCCAAACTCGGAGATCGAGTATTAAATCAGCCAGTAAAACATGACATGAGGTACTCGACCCTGCCATTGAATCTGCCCCTCAAAGTATCATTCACAATATCCCAATATTCTCTAAAGTGTTATGAGATAAGTACAAGAATCCAATCCAAGTCCTGAAATTGAGACAGGAGTTCTCACACACTCATTTCTCCACATTGTAAAGATATTGTTCACTTTGAGCCTCTAACTAATGGAGACTTTGCATGTGTTTATAAACCCATATCCATCCTCCTGTTCAAATGATTTGGGACTTTGATTGTATCCTAACAATCTTCCCCCTCAAACAAAGAGCCATGGTTTACCCCTTTTGTAGCGGAAACTAGTCCATGAGTATATTCGATGGTAGCCCCGTAGAACTCAGTCATGCTCTTAGTATTTGCATCATCACTCCGTCATTTAACTCATGATACTAGGGGTTTCTCGTACACACGTCTCCACATTGGAAAGATATTATCTAATTTGGGTCTAAGTCCTTATGATTTTGTTTTTGGACATCACTTAAAAGGCCTTTAACCAATGGAGACTTTGCATGTATTTATAAATTTATGTTCATCCTCTTGTTCAAACAATTTGGGACTTTGATTGTATCCCAACAAACATGAATAAAGGCTATGCACCCAAATACTCTACGAATGTGTCCATTTTAGGTATTGAAGTGAGGATAAAAGCTATTTAAGACCTCTATTGGGTAGTCAACTTATCATGCATGAGGCAGTGAGAACAATCTTCCCCTTATAAGATTAGGAACCTTTGCTTGAAGGAGAAGAGTTCAGGATTGCCTATTTTTCCTCATGGCCACCCCATTTTGTTGGTGTGTTGACACATGATGAATCATGGATAATTCCTTAAGTAAGGAGATAGTTTGATTGAAATAATCCCTTGCATTGTTAGATCTGAATCTTTTTGTTGTGACCCCAAATTATTTTTCAATCATTGAGTGAAAACTGGTATAACAGTACTGACATCAGATTATTGCTTGAGAAGATAAAGTTAAGTGACTCGTGTGTTGTCATCAATTAGGGATACAATCCAATGAGCCCTAGAAGCATTTGAACTTATTGAAACACCTGTAAGTTGCTTTTATTGCTGATAGGAAAAGTTACGTGATTATGTTGGGTACTATGCAAATATCACAATGAAATTAGGAGATATATACTCCTCAAAACAAGTGGGGAAACATATTTTTGAGAACATTAAATAATAGATGCCCTAGGTGAAGGTGATATAGCAAAATAGCATCTTTAGTTGAGGTACTAATTAAAGACAAGTAATGATTCATCTTGGATTCTTGGAATGAGTCAAGATATCAAATTCCATTCCTTTCCTAAGCAAGTCCAATCCTCTTTGACAAACCCTGTTATGGTCAAACATTATTAAGAAGGTCACTAATGCAAGCAAGTATACTTGAAAGAGCAAGAGAGCAAGATCCAGAGGGTTTTTCAAGAGTTCCTAGCAAGCCTCTTAGTTTCTTGATCTCTTCATTGTTGAATCCTCCAACTACAGAGTCTTCTTCAATGTTTCCCTCCACAATTCCCCTAATCCTTGCTTTGCAGGCCTTCCATGCTGTTTCTAACATTTTTCCTTTGTGTGCCTTGGTCTTTTGTAGTAAGTACACCACATATTGTCCTTTTTTCTCTTCTACTAGTTCTCTACATTTTGGCCTTCTCCTTTTTGTAATTAATCCTGTCTAGCAACTAGAGCAGAAGCATCTAATGGTTGTGTATCAAGCATAACATTCCACTTGCTCTCTTCTACTTAGACTATGGATACAGTCTCTTCTAAGGAAGGTGGGTCCTTTTTTCCAAGAATCCGAACTCTAACATGATCAAATTCAGGATACAATGTAGCTAAAAATTCATACACTCTGTCCTTTTCAATGCAGCATTTTAAAGGAGTTGCATTTACAATACACATCATTTAAAATACTAAAAATGATCAAGTTCTTGCCATAAGTATTATAGCTCTTAGAATTTGGGCCTAGGACCTAAATGAATTTCACAAAACTGACTTATAAGATGAGAACTACCTATGCTTTAAAAGTTTTTTATTTAAGTCATATCTCTAGTCAATGTGGGACTAAATATTACCCTTGGGACTGCAATTAAGGCAGCTCCCTAAAAAGGCCACAACTAAGGTGGGCTAGGGGTGACTTCAATTGAGACAACCTTCCATTGGTAGCATAGTTTCATATTCTAGTGTACTCTTGGTTCCTTGCGTAGTGGTTGAAGTCTTGGCTTTAATATCGTAAATTTGGGCAACATCAAGAGCTTTAGATGTGTGTGGGTTAATGAAGTTCCTAATATCCTTAACTATATTGAGAATCATGCAGGTGTCACTAATTATTGGGTTTCTGAAGGCCCATAACTAGGACATGATCATGGAATCCTCCTTGTTCCTCGTGTTGTACTTTAGGTCCTTTGTGTTTTTTTACTTTTCAAGGAGATGACTAAGGCATCCTTTGCCCTTGAGGTGGGTGTGGCAATTTGGGATTGTTTGAGATAGTTTCTTCCATTGAGCTTATTAAGCCTTGAATGCTTTTGAAGCTCTCTTGTCTTCTACATAGCACTGGATTCCTTGGTTGGATTTGAATTGTTTGATATGATGGTCTCAAATTCAGGACCTAATATTGTTGGAAAGTCTTACATTGTCTGTCTCAATTCTTGGGGTGCAACTTATATATTTGATGAACAATTTTACTTAATTCCAATTGATTTTAAAATGGAATCTAATAGCTATCAGGACCTATAACCCATCTTGGTAAATCACTTATTCTGGTAGGCTCGTCTATTCTAGCAGGCATATGTGGAGGGTGGTGTTGGGGGCCCCGACATCACCTCTCTCAATTCTTGGGGTACAACTTATATTTTTGTTTGGCAATTTCACTTAATTCCAATTGGTTTTAAGATGGAATCTAACATATATGTAGGTTCTAAGCATTAACAAAATAAAGAGTGAGAATGATGAAGGTTGAATCACAAAAGGGATGATAGTTGCAGCAGCAATGAAAGCTGTCCATGAAAATAGGAAACAACAATGAAGGCTTTCTGGAGAAAATGGCTACTGAAGTTAAAATAGAATGATTCTTATTGATAATTTCAAAATGAGATTACACAAGTATTTATAGAATGGTACAAGGCTTCACAGAGGGAAGCAAATCACCCCCAAATAATTAGAAATAATATCCTAATAGTCCGAAATAACTTCCTAGATAGAATCCCCAAGTTTCAAGGATTTCAAACTTGATATTCTAAAGTAATTTTAACTTAATTTACAATATTTACATTTATAGCTCAACAAATCTCTACTAAACGCTTTTCATTGGATAACATTCTCTGTTGTGACCTTTAAGCATGGCAATAATTGAATTAGAATAAATTTATATATCAAGTTCTAACAGTGATCATTATTACACACTGAGTAGCAATGCCAAGGAAGTCAAGAAAATTTTATTTTGTGGATGAATGAGGGAGATTGCATGATATGATTCCTTGTTGATTTCAGGTTTGGAGGGGAAGCTTACCCAAGGACTTTGTTTATCCAAAATCTCCAGAGAGAATACTTTTTTGTGGTTGGAGGCGTGATATGGAGGATATGATCATGGTAATGATATAAGAAATCTGCTGCTATGGTCCCTATTTTTCTTTACTTCAGTTACCATAGTGTATGAAACTGAAAAGATATGTTGGGGAAATAACCCTGTTATTTTTATAACATTAAATTTGATTGCTGCTATTAATTCTCCAACTATCTGCATCATTGTTGATTCATCAAAGAAAGAAATACTCATGCAAAAAAATTGACTACTAGACAATTTTATGCATAAACAAATGAAGTCATCATTTGGGCACATTTTTGTACAATTACATATTTTGAGGCAATATATAAAATCTTTAATTTTTAAGAGCTAGATAAAAAGTTACGCTTAATATGATATATTAAGCAATTTTTTTAAAGTTTCGGGCAGTCATGGCATCCCCTGTCCCTGCAATTGTTTATTTGCGGTGGGCATTAATACTTTTTTGGGCATGTCCATATCTCTCTGTTCCTTTAGGTTTTGGATGCATCCTTAGCACATGGGTCAGAACTCTGGATGTTCAATGATGTTCCAGAAAAAGAGAGAGAAAAGAAGCTAACTGATGGTGGCCTTGACATAAATCGATTAGAAAATATATCTCTGGTTAATCGTGAGGGGAATGCTGTTATACGTCGTCACTTGGAAAGCCTTCCATTGGAATCATTTGATTCAGTAAGTGACATTTATTAGTTTGTTCTATCTAAGTGTTTTTGCTAATTTATCTCCATTCTTGATGCATAATGTAAGGAATCAAACCACCTAATATTGATCCTAGTTAGGAAATTACTGGATTTTTCTTTCTACAGCCGTACAATTATAGAGTAGTTGGAAGCAAATTGAGGTTAAAGTTAAACTCTATAATTCAGGGAATCATTTGAAATTGTGCCTATAACAATTATAATGTATCCAATTTAATTCTGGTCTTTGCAGATATTGATTTTGGCTGATGAATCAGTAGAGGATTCAGCAATTCAAGCTGACTCTAGATCACTTGCCACACTACTTTTAATTCGTGACATACAAGTGAGTTTCTAGTCAAAATTTAAGCTCTGATTTAATATATCTTGATAAGAGTCTATCTATATACCAGCCCATTCATTCTTCTGCAACTAAACAAACGTTATCATCCTCTATGTGTAGATCATGTAGTGCACAACTGTTGTGGTCAATAAATTAGATGTAAGCATCTGATATTAATAGAAAATTCTATGATGAGGATAATTTGGCCGAAATCTATTATTGATTCTATGTGGTATTGTTTGGCTTTTGTTAATTCGGAGGCGCTTATTTAATTTTATTCACAAGCTCTATATATAGAGCTAAATTGGAACACAATTCAAATATAAACACTATACTAATCTTAAAATCAAACTCATAATATTCTAAAATCTAAATGGTAGAAATAATATGCTAATCATTATCTAAACAACATCTTACAAATTTGAAACATAACAAAATTTCTAAAAACTAAATTATCTATTTTCAAATTACAATATTAGGCATATATATTCAATGTGCCTCATTGCCTTAATATAAGCAGACACTCAATTTGAATTTCACCTTCAAAATTTGTCTTCCGTGCTTTTGATGCTTTCTTCCTCTTTCTTTGCTTATAATTCTTATCATTATCTTTCTTGTGTGGGATCACTTCTACATTGAACTTGACCTTTTCCTTCATTGTATTTATCCTTTTTTGATAGATTGTAGCTTCTTTGTATCTTGTGAGCTCTATGACAACAACATTGCAGCTTTGATAACCGAAAGGTGGTTCTTCATCTTCATTCTCCTTCTAAACATCAAGTTTCTTCAACTCCTTTTGAATTTGAACATTAAGTTTCTTCAAAACATGCGTCTTTGTGTTCATTTTTTAATTTTGATCCTTCTTTTTTGTATTCTTCATCTGTGGTCAACTCTTCCCTCATCAAATCTAAAACAAACTCTTGTTTTTCATCTTAACTTTGATAACTTCTATGTTTGTATCTTTAATCACACAATTTTTATCTTCAAACAACACTTTATAACCTTTCTTCAATAGCTGGTAAAGCCTCCACCAACATCTCTTTTGTGGATGATTTGTTTTTGTTGAGAGAAATGGTAAATGGAATAAAGCATTTCCTTGTGTATTGCAAAATGAGAGATATGCTTATATACAAAGTAGTGGGCCTAAGCCCATGTAGTCAGACTATATCTAACACTCCCCCTCAAGCTGGTGTATATAGATCATATGCACCAAGCTTGTAACAAATATAATCAATTCTAGGACCCCGTAATGATTTGGTGAAGACATCTGTCAACTGATTAGTAGAGTTAACAAACTGAGTAGTAATGTCCCCAGATAAAATCTTCTCACGAATGAAGTGACAATCTATTTTAATGTGTTTGGTCCTCTCGTGAAATACTGGATTTGAGGCAATATGAAGGGAAACTTGGTTATTACATATGAGAGTCACCTATATAACTTCGCCAAATATCGGTTCTTTAAGCAACTATTTGAGTCAAATAAGCTCACAAGTAGCAGAGGCCATAGCACGATATTCTGCTTCTGCACTAGATCTTGCCACTACATTTTGCTTCTTACTTTTCTAGGAAATCAAGTTATCACCAATAAAGACACAATAACCTGAGGTGGATCTCCTGTCAGAGGGAGAGCCTGCCCAATCTGCATCTGAGTACCCCACAACTCGAGTATGATTGTTGTAGCCATATAATAAACCTTTTCCTGGAACACCTTTGATATAGTTTAGAATGCGGATGACTGCATTCCAATGTTCTACACATGGATAATTGAGAAATTGACTCACCACACTAACTGCAAAGGAGATGTTAGGACGAGTTACCGTGAGATAATTCAATTTCCCAACCAATCTTCTGTACCTTTCAGGATTCGAGAAAGGCTCCACCTGACTTGGTAGAAGTTTAGCATTGGGATCCATAGGTGTATTAATGGGCTTGGAACTCATTAGGCTAGTTTCCTCTAAAATATCCAATGCATACTTCCTTTGAGATATTACAATTCCATTTTTAGATTGTGCTACCTCAATCCCCAAGAATTATCCAAGTTTACCAAGGTCTTTTGTCTAAAAGTGATGGCAAAGATGTTGTTTTATCTGAGAAATGCCATGATGGTCACTGTTAGTAAGAACAATATCATCAACATACACTATCAAGTAGATGCACCCAACATTGAAATGTCGATAAAAAACAGAATGATCAGCTTCACTTCGAGTCATACCAAATTGTTGGACTACGGTACTAAATCGACCAAACCATGCCCTTGGAGACTGCTTAAGACAATAAAGTGATTTGCGGAGACGACGTACCAAACCAGAAGACTCCCCTTGAGCAACAAATCCAGGAGGTTGCTCCATATAAATTTCCTCTAGCAAATCCCCATGAAGAAAGACATTTTTAACATCCAGTTGATAGAGAAGCCAACGGCGAAGAGCAGCCATGGCTAAGAATAATCTAATAGAGACCATCTTGGTAACAGGGGAGAAAGCTAGGGTGGGCTAAGGCATCACCTACAGTTTTAGGAATAGACACAGAGGAAATAGAAGAAAGACAAGTATATTGGGAAGAGGATAACCTGTGATAACTCAAGGTAATATAATTAGGGGAAGGATTACGAGTAAAACGAGTACCTTTTCAGAGGGCAATTGGGAGGTCTGACTCAAGTGGTTGGCCTGGAGGGGGCAAAGGTGGTGGCATCGGACTAGAGTTGGTAGGGGGCCCAATAGGAAGGCGAAAGCGTTGCCGACGATGATAAACTTGAAAGGGAGGTAGAGGTGGTGGGTCAGGTGACACAACAAACATAGGAGGAGTATCAAATACAAGTAGGGGGGTGAAGGGGCAAGGACAGGTGCAGAAGAAGAGGAAGTAGTAGGAAAGTAGAAAGAAGACTCGAGAAAGGTGACATCAACTGAAATTAAATAGCGATGAAGGGAGGGTGAGAAACATTTATACCCTTTTTGAGACCTAGGATACCTTAAGTAGACACATTTGTGAGACCGAGCGGATAGTTTGTCAAGACCAGGACTATGATTATGGACGAAATAGGTAGTTCCAAAGACGCAAGGAGGTAGAGGGTGGAGAGGTTGATTGGGGAACAAAATGGAGTGAGGTATTTGATTGTTGAGAACAGAAGATGGCATGCAATTGATGAAATAACGTGTAGTGAGAACAACATCACCCCAAAAAGGTTGAGGAATGTGACCATGGAGTAAGAGGGTGCGAGTGATCTCAATTAAGTGTCTGATGTAGAATACCATGAGAAGCCATGAAAGCTTGAAAGGAGTGAGAGGTATTCACGAGCATTATCACTACGATAAGTACGGATAGAAACACCAAATTGATTCTGAATTTCATTATAAAAGGATTGAAATATGGAAAAGAATTCAGATCGAGTTTTCATTAAAAATAACCAAGTACATCGAGAGTAATCATCAATAAAAGTTACAACATATTGAAATCCTAAAGTAGACCTTCGAGAAAAAGAACTATGACTATGCCTAATTGACATGACTCACACAACAAATGAGATAACTTAGACAGACGTGGTACAAGGTATTGAAGCTTGGCAAGGCTAGGATGACCTAATTGGGCATGGATGAGAGAAGGGGAATCCACTACCAAACCAGTAGGAGCAGAAGTGTGTAGGTGATAAAGGCTATGAGACTCACATCCGGTGCTAATCATCCTTCCCGAACTCCGGTCCTGTAAGAAAACAGAATCTTTAGTAAAAGAGACAAGACAATCAAGAGAGCGAGTAAGACGACTAAGTGATAATAAATTAAAAAGAGACTCTGGGACATAAAGAACATTGTCAATAGAGAGAGAAGGAGAAAGATGGACAGTACCAACACCATGAGATGTGGCGCGAGAGCCATTAGCCATAGTGATAGAGGGTAAAGAACAAGTAGTAGAAAGAGAGGAGAAAAGAGACCGATTACCAGAAATATGATTGGTAGCACCAGAATCTAGGACCCAAGGGCCAAGAGAAGTGGAGTGAGTGAGACCAACAAACGAAGGACCTGTGTACGCAATAGAGGCAGTGGAATTGGAAGCCTGACGTTCCTCATACCATTTAAGGAAGTTATGGAAGAGAGCTGGAGGTCCAGATCTAGACCCATCAGAGGGGGTAGAACCAGATGCAGTAGAAGCAGGGGAGGTAGTGTGGGCAACAGCAGTAGCAGGGCGAGTGGGACGACCATGTAAGACGTAACAACGGTCAATTGTGTGACCAAGTTTGTGACAGTGATCACACTTGGGAAGACCTTTGCCCAGTTTGCGAGAGCGCTGACGATCATCACGCTGAGAAACCAAAGCAGAGGAGTCATCAGTGGGAGCGGAAGAATGTATGCCAGGAGAAGACTTGCAGGGCACACGCAACAGGATGGCCCAAGCTGAGTTCAAGGTAGGCACGGTCGGAGATCCCAGAATCTGATCACGAATGGAGGAGTACTCATCAGGAAGCCCATACAATGCCATCAACATAAAGAAAGTTTGGCGTTGCGCTAGTTCCTTGGCAGGAGTGGCAGCGAGAGGCAAAAGTTCATTGAAGTCATAGAGAAGGCCATGAACTTTGCCCAAATATTCAGCCATGGAGCCCTCAAGGCGGCATGGAGAAATGATACTTTGGAGATTTTGACACACACCATAGAGACGTTGAGTATCATTGGTGTACAACAGTCGTGCCTGTTCCTATACATCAACACAAGTCTCATGAGCACGAAAATTTTGCTTGAGGGAGGGATGAATGGTCGACTTAAGGACACTACAAATTTGAGCATCAATTTTCGACCAACGAGGACGATCTTTCTCATCAATGGAAGCAGCTGTATGGGTAAGGTGAGTAACATAATCTTGTCCCTTAAGCCAAAGCTTGATATCAGAAGCCCAAGTGTCATAATTGGTTCCATCTAACTTATTAATGGAAAGTGGGACATTGACATAGTTAGTAAAAATAAAGGAGTCAGGCCGGACAGCAGTAGGAGAAGCCATATATGTTGGGAGAGGAGAGAGAA